CACTTTTAAATTCTGTCAACTATTAAGGATGACAACGGTGAATACGAGATAGGTTATCCATTTCCGTCCCCCATGCCCAGTAAAAGTGGGAAGGGACCTCCCCCGTTTATTTTTTCAACCATGCTACATATACATAATCATTCACATAATCTTTTATACCCTCCTCACATGGAGGAGGTCTCACACACAATAAAATATTCGCAGACACTACTTCTGTGAGATAGATGTACGTATACATGGTGTACAAACAAATCTACCCTTATTATTTTTATATATTTAGTTAGTGAATGTTATTAAGAATAACATGAACTTCAAATTTTTTTTTTTTCAATTTGTTAAGAATAACTCATATTCTCTTTAAAAATGATGATAAATTCCTTTTCTTTTTTATTTGATAAAAAATTTAAATTTTAAATTGGACGAGTAGTGGGGTGGGGACCATGTTTTCCGTACCTTTTTCGTACTCGCTTCGAGGCACAACCCCCGTCTCGTCCCCTTCCCGTTTACCCGATTAGGCAAGTAGACCCACGGCTATCGGGTTGAACATATTTTTTTGTCATCCCTATCAACTATATTTACATTTGTCGCAGGCATATGTATTAGTACTAGTCAGACTTGAACTTGCATTGCACGTTATTCTAAAATTCAACTATATTTCTCTTGTAACATCAATGCAATATTTAATTGGTTGGAAAGAAAAAATGGGTGCGTGAATGGTGGTGGACAGGCGAAAGTGAAATTCGTGGGAAAAAGCGGCCGCCAGAGGCGGGGTGGAGTTAATGTGGAGAGAAAGCAGTCCGGAGAAGAAGCTATAGTAACCGACGACTGTCGAGGTGAAGTCGTGCAATGAAGATCTGCAGATGGCGACTGGTAAGTTCAAAACAGCGACGACCAGGAGCGAGCTCAACTGAAAGTGATTGTCTCGAATGGTACATGTTCGATTTGCGTTTCAGCAGTAGCGTAAGGAATTGGTTCAATTATTTGGAGGTCGAGGCAGGTGGAGAAGAGGCGATACTTGCCGGAGATTCACTCGCTGGCGGCGTTAACTGGGTCGGATCGTGAGGCAATGATAAAGGGAAGAGAGAGAGAGAGAGAGAGAGAGAGATGAATTTAGGGTTTGATTTGGGATGACAATTTTATAATTAATATTTAATTAAAAAATCTGATTTTTGAAATTTAAAACTTCAAATCTGATTTTAGAATATCTTTCTATATATAAAAAGTGCCTATTTAACGGAATTTGTTGGTTTAACGGAAAAACTAACGGAATTTGTTGTTTAAACGGATTATGTAACGGAATTTCTTGTTTTAAACAGGC